GGGGGGGGGGGGGGGGGGGTGGGTTTTGCCCCAAAAATGAATGGAGGGGGAAAGGGAAAAAAACCACTGCCCTAGATCCAGAAAATCAGAGGGCATCATTCTAACTTTTTTCCCCCTAGGTTTCTGACAACCCAAGGCCTGATTTATAACCTCCCTCCCACTTTTCTGCCTTGTCTGTCTTTCTCCAGTTATGAAAGGACCGAGGCCAGTGGTGCTGAGTGGCCCTTCAGGCGCCGGGAAAAGCACTTTACTCAAGAAGCTCCTCAAGGATTATGGCAATGTCTTCGGCTTCAGCGTCTCCCGTGAGTGATCCTTGTCTGCTGTGATCTGCAAGACACCCAGAACCATTCTGGTTAAAATCCAAGCAGCTACGCTCCCACATGCTCAGCGTGGTTCACGTTCACTTCAGTGACTTCTTTGGGGGCTTGGTGAATTGTACAGACCCAACTCCTTTGGTTAGCTTCAGGGTCCGGCATTGGGAGAACCCCATATTAGGTGAATTCAGCAGTGAGGTTAAACGTGTTGTGAATTCAGCACGTGCCAAAAGATGTCTTCCTTAGAGGGTTTTATTTTTCTCCCTTGCTCTTGACACAATAGCATCCTTTTCTTCCTACATTGCTAACCTCCTTTCTCTTGGAAAATAATTGAAAAAAAACTTCTGTGAATCTGATGAGAGAGATGAAGATGAGTCCCTGTGTGTGCAGGGCTGTTTTTCAAGGAACTGTGTTTCACAGTCATTTTTTCCCCCAAATACCCTCACTTTTCAACCCCTAGGATCCAGGCCATTTCATTTTCTCATCTTCCTTTTCAAGGGACCGTGTGTCATAGTCATTTTTTTTCTCTCTCCTTCCTCTCAAATGCCCTCAATTTTCAACTTACAATCCAGCCTGTTTTATTTTCCCGTTGGTTTTCCATCTTCCTGCACACAAACAGTCTTCCTCCCTGGTATTCTGTTTAAACAAGATGGGCAGACAGCCGGAACATAGCTGGTCTTCTGACCTGGGCATATTGGTTTTTAAATCAGGGCGTAACTTAAACAGAGAACAAGTGATTAGGCCAGTGCAGGGCTAGAGAGAAAGAAGAAACACATTTTTACAGTTGCTTCACAACATTTGTAAGTGTTATAGTGCATTTCTCTTCAATTTTTTTTTCTTGCTTTCAGATACAACAAGACAACCAAGGCCTGGAGAAGTAAATGGAAAAGGTACAGAACAAAATTTTATCATCACTTCCAGAAAAAAAAAAAAGAGCGAGTTTCAGTCACTTTCCTCAATCTGAAATCCAGCAGCAGACCCAGATAACATGGGCCAAGCAGTTGCTTCTTTCTTTGTTAGAAATAAATCCTGGCTTTTGTTCAGAAGTTCAAGGTGATATGCACGTCTCTGCTGCCTCCTACTTTTCTTCACAACAACCTTGTGAGGTAGGCTGTGTACGAGAGGGAGGCCTTCTGGCCGCGGTCTTCCTCCCAATTCTGAGGATTTTTTTGTTTTTTATAACTTTTATTAGAATTTTTCATATAAGCAAAAAATAAACATGAAATAATATGAAGTAAGAAAAAAAGGAAAAGATAAAAGAAGTGTGAAAAGTTATAAAGATAGAAAAAAAGAAAGGATATATAAAGAAATGACATCCGATCTCCTTTACAGCAATTACTAACAAACTTATTGTCTCTCAGCTCTCCTTAACGTTGCATGATTCCCATCTTCAACCCTTTTTAATCAGCAAATCCATAAATCAACAATTCAGTTTTTTCCATTTTCAGCAAAAAATCCATCAGAGGTTTCCAGTCTTTTGTAAAAGTAACCAATTTGGACGATTCTTTTGGATTAAGAGCATAATAGAACGGTATGTGGGAAAGGCCTTGAGAGACGGGGCCAAGAGACGTTGCCAAGGAAACCGTCAGATAAGAGACAGCCTAGCCCACAGCTGGACAGTGGGTGAGGCAAGAGGCTCAAAAGAGACCCTTCCTAATTTCTCAGGGTGTAAAGGAGACAGGGAGAGGATGGTATTTTTAGACTTGCAGGATTGATACAGTGGAACCTTGGGTCACGAATGCTTCTGTTCACGAACTATTCGGGTGACGACCAGCTCCGGTCGCAAAATTTTGCTTCGGTTTGCGAACTCCGCCTCGGGTTACAAACAGGATCCGCGGCCATTTTCCACCCCTGACATGTGGTCCGTGGCCATTTTCCGCCCCTGACACGTGGTTGTAGGGAGGGGGATTCTCCCTCCAAGCAATAGCCGCCTCCCTGTCCTCCACACCAGAACGGATTAATGTTAATTACATTGAACCTTATGGGAAAATTTGCTTCGGGTCGCGACCAACTTGGGTTGCGACCAGAGTCACGGAACGGATTAAGTTCGTGAACCGAGGTTCCACTGTATCAGCCTCATGGCGTAAACCAGATAGGAAACGCAACCAGATGAGCTAATTCTACTTTATCGTAAAGCTACGTTGACAGAATCTTGCAGATCTGAAAGTACAATTCTCTCCTTGTCTCCTTTACAGCCTGAGAAACTAGGGAGGGTCCCTTCTGAGCCTCCTGCCCCACCCACTATCCAGCTGAGGGCTGTGCTGCCTCTTATCTGACCACTCCTTAGGCCGCATCTCTTTGCCCAGTCTCCCAAGGTCTTTCCCACATACCATTACACATAAGCAGACCATGGCCATCTTCATTCTGCACTCTTCCCCTCCCTGTTTCCTTGAGCTTTTCTTGGAAGTGAGAGACCTCACAACGGGATGCCTATCCTGCATTTAAGCAGGGGCCTCTCTTGCCAAAGAACATAGTGGTATCTCTCTCCTAACAAACGTGCACGTACTAGCATACAGCTATGGAAAACCTGGTTTGTTTCTCTCCCTAGATTACCATTTTGTGACCAGAGAAGAGATGCAGAAGGAAGTCGATGCTGGGGGGTTTGTGGAGCACGCAGAGTTTTCTGGCAACATGTATGGAACAAGGTAGGCTCTTTAAATAAGTTCAGAAGATGCATTGCTTTTTTAACTCCTAGGTCTGTCTTTGTAAACATAAGTACTAGGTACTTGAAGCTGAAGCAGGTTAAAAGCCTAGATCTGGGAACACTGAGCAAGAACTCTTTGATGTACAGAAAAAGAAAGTTGCTTCTACACACCTTAGGACAGTGTTGTCCAAACTTGGCCACTTTAAGATGAGTGGACTTCAACTCCAAGAATTCCCCA